AAAAAAAGACATTTTTGACCACCATAATAAGCTTTTAACTGATGCAACAGTGCTCTTAGGGCAGTATTACAAAATAGCTGGTAAGTGCTTCTTTCTGTATTTAAATATTGTGGAAAAAAATAAGTTATAACTGTTATAAAGCAGGACATTCATTACTTTTTTTTTTGTTGTTTTTTAATTGTTGAAGTCACTTTGTATGTTTGGTTAATGTTTCTGCAGTATTTATTAAAATACCATTTTTTCCTTTGAATTAAAAAAAAAAAATTGGAATTTTCTTGTAGTGGCAACAGCCTTTGTGTGTTAGTTCATTAATAATTGTGTGGTTTGGGGATAATTGTGCTGAGCTCCAGGCCAGGAATGGCTGGGATTTCCATGGGAATAATCTTTCTCTTGCAAAATCCTTTTAGACATAAAATTTTCCTCTGTTCTGGAGGTTCTTTCCCCAAAAACGCCGGAGGCAGAGGAGCAAAGCAAACACGTGGGGGTTGCTTTGCTTTGCCTCCCGGGCTGAATTTTTGAATTTTTTAGGTGTTTCTGTGCTAGAAATGCAGCAAAAGTCATTCCCAGCCCAGGGATGTTCCCGTTGCTGTTCCCACTGGGAAATCCTTGGATGAGTGAYCCCAAAAAATCTGCCCTGCCCTGTGTGAGGCTGCCTTGGACCCCAACCCTACAGTTTTCACCCCTTTCAGTCCAGAACTGGGAATTGTCTCCTTGTGCTGCTCTCCAGCTCAGAATTCCCAGCAAAACCATCCCCTGATGGTTTTTTGCTGTTTCTGGAATTAATGAGTGAGGGGTTCATTAATTAATTCTCCTCCTGCCCCAGCTGGAGGTGCTGCTCTGAGCTTTGCTGTYCCCATCCGTGCTGGATTGGTGAGCTCTGGATTGCTGGATTTGATTTGGGGTCTCTGAGCCAGAATTGAGGCAGTGGGAGCAGACTCAGGGCCTGGAACCCCTTCCCATAAAGGATGTTTAATATTTAACCTGCGGTGGTTCCTCTTGGAGGGTTTTTTTTTTGCCATCTTGCTCAGAGCTGGAGGAGCAGCTTGGACTCCTTTTCTGCTGGTGCTGCTTTTGTCTTTATCTCCCCCTTCATCCCCCCTTCATCCTCCCTTCATCCTCACCTTCATGCTCATCTTCATCCCCCCTTCATCGCCTTCTTCATCCTCACCTCCATCCCTTCTTCATCCCCCTCTTCATCCCCCTTTCATCCCTCCCTTCACCCCACATTCATCCCCCCCCTTATCCCCTTTTCATTCCCCCTTCATCCCCCCTTCAACCTTCGTCCCCCCTCCATCCCCATATTCATCCTGACCTTCATCCCCCCTTCAGCCCACATTCATCCCCCCCTCCATCTCTCCTTCACCCCACATTCATCCTCATCTTCATCCCCTCTTCATCCCCCTCTATCCCCCCTTCATCCCCATATTCATCCCCTTATTCATCCTCACCTTCATCCCCCCTTCACCCCACATTGATTCTTACCTTC